CAGCCTGGACGGTCGCAACAGCGCAGAATGCGAGCAAACTGACAATTTCTATGGTCTTTGTCAACCACGAATCTAGAGAGGAGCATGAGCAATAGGGTGTGGAATCCACCTGCAAATTACCCACAGAATTAACGCGGCAAGTGAAAATGCTACGCCAGCGACGCCAGATCGGAGCAACAGGGAACAAAAACGTGGGAATCTGGGATATGAGCACAACGAATTGCAACGAAGGAATTCAATCACCCCATGTTTCGCGAAAAATGGCGAGAGACGAGAGATGCGAGAGCGACCAAGACATCCGCGGCAAGGGAAACGGCCAACCAAAAACTGCAACACACGATCTCAGAGATGGGATCTCTCGAGCCGCTAAAATGAACGTACAGAGTTTGGAAATGATGGTCGCTGAACACGAATAAAGATTCAGTGATACGTTGTGCTATGAGAGCGTGTGCAAGAAGCACTGTTCCGACGATCTGATAAAGCGTTGAGTGGCAAGAGATCCTCGTTGGCCTGGCTTACCGAGGCAATAGTCGAAAGTACAATCAAAAGGAATGGAAAGCGATTCTTAGTGCTGGAATTATACACTTAGCTGCAGGGAACGATTATGAAAAGAATTTGGCACGTACAGTCGCAAGTAGCGGACACCGAGGTGAGCTCGCGAGACCGTGCCCGAGACAGTGGTAAGAATCACGAACACCGGAACAATCTGAAGGCTAGCTTAGTGGCCGCTGTACATGGTCAATGGAGGCGCTACATACCAACAGGCGGTTGGATAGGAAAGTCTCGTCGCCCCAATGCGTTACCAAGTTCTCGATCATCGAATGAGATGAGATCATTCTCCGTCGCAGAGTTGGGTAGCTCACAAGGTATACCATCCCATCGGTCGCAGCAGTTGCTAGCGTGTCGGCCGCTAGAGCCAGCAGAACACACACTCTGACAAACAATCCGTCTTGCTTGAAATATCGGAAATACTTGACCGTCTGTGTCGTTCCAATCGGCTCCCCGCCCTCTGAGATATACGGAAACAAGCGAACTCACCTCAACGAACGCGAGAATATAGAGGAACTGCCATGGCGGTCAGAAGAGACTGGGGATCCATCAATCGAAGTCACATACTGAATTGACATAGGTGCCGATGAGCAAAGCTCTGTAAGATGGGCGATCAGCGCGCTTCCCAAGAGCTCGGTTGGCAGAGCGCGCACCCCAACATCCTGTCCTGCACCATGTTGAGAGTCGTCATCGCCGAAGATTTCAAAAGAATGTGGGGGGGAGGAGACAGAGGAGGAAATGAGGAGGAAATGGGAGGGAGAAATAGGTTCACGCTATTGTCAACGGCGAGAAACTGTGGTCATATCCGGCACTGGCTGCGATTGGGTTTGATTTTAAGCAACTACCCTCGATTCCAGATCGAATTCTTGGTTGTTACTCTAAACGTAATTTAGGACGTCAGGTTTACTTCCGCCGCTCGGGTTGGCAACGAGTGCGGTAACGACGAGGCGGAAGGCAGTTGGGGACATGTTGAAGACAGGAATGACCGAGTCCCGGGCCGCGCGCGCGGTGCCCAATGAAGAGTCGGACCCGGATCAGAGGGATCGGCGGGCAGTGAGTATTTGAATGTCGACAGTGTCCAGGTGATCTTGAGCACTGATATCCGGTGGAATTGGGATTTTATTCGCCACGTAATTGCAGTCGCCGCCAGAGAGCGCTCCTTTTCCTTGATTCGAAGATGCTTGGAGAGCGGAAGCCAGGATTGATTGATTGAGATCAGATGGTCAAGTAAGGAGTTACAAGATAACAAAGCATACATAATCAGATATCTTCGTGGTCGTCCGCCCCGGGCTTTCCCCAGCGAAACATTTGAGTGGGGCCGCCTTGCCACTCTCTAACCCGATGAGCAGAAAGCAAAGAGACGGTCGAACGATCTGTGCCAACAAAACCTGTGCTCGCAGACTGGATAGCTGCATCAATGAATACGGGGAACCAAGCTCCATGTATTTCACTGGTCCACGAGTGATCGACACGGTCCCAGCCTTGAGCCTGTACCTGGCGCCACCAGGATTCGTCGGTCTCGTCGCTGGTCATGATCACGTGTTGTACCTCGATCCCCTTCGTCCGCCAAAGCCGTTGCCGAATCTCGGCAACGCGACGGGCAATTACAGAGACCGGCGCGAAGCAGTCCTCCCGATCGGGCACCTCGCACCAATTGACAAAGTCCCCCCGTCTCGCATGAACCGAGATGTACGGAGGAATCGGCCTTGCACGCGCAAGACCTAATGTCCGCCTGACATATCGGGCTGCGAGGGCTTCAATGCGAGGGTTCCAGTGAAGATGCCGCCCGACGAATCTCCAAGCAGTGCTGTAATCGTGTTCCATTTCGTGAGGCTGTGGGCATCGCTTAGCAAGATTCTTCAATAAAGACCGACGGACATTACCTCGAGATTGGTTGCCCAATAAAGATTATCAAAACATAACAGCTGCTCATCCGGCGGGAGTGAGGCATGCAACAGAGGTGACCTGACCGGCGTGGTCAGATGTTCATTGCGTTGTTCGGGAAACCCGAGCGACATGAGAGAAGCGAATCGCATATCTGTACTCTGGGGATTGCCAGGGTACAGCTTGATCGATTCGGGTGCCGTTGTATACGAGATGTCTAAAAAAATATTCGAACGAATTTCCATAGACCAATAACCAGGTTCATACCGAGCTTCATTCTTTCCGGGGCTAGGGTCCAATGTGGTCCCTTGTTTGCCGGCGAGACAGCTTCCCAGACATTCCAGCAGCCCAAGGTGTCGATCTTTGTACTCCCAAGATCCTGTGCTTGGGGTTTGACGACGAGCACGACGTGAGAGGGGATCGTTGCTCACTTTGATATCTCCCCACTCGAGAATCGGTTTCCTAATGGCCTTCTCCAATCTCGCCACATCGAACACATCCCCGAAAGCAATAACAGGACCCGTTTCGGACTGACCGACATGGGTCGGGACGAAGTAAGGGATGACCGGGACGCGCTCCGTTAGTATAGACAGATAGATTAGATTCATCTTCAGGAGATTGAGGACCGGAGAGTAACGAGATGGAAGGAGTTATGACACGCACATATAGCATCACATCGTTAGCTACAAATGGTCAGCATACTGAAAAGAGCCGCAGAAGAAACGCCGCAACTGAATCCACTTCCAGGGAACGACAATATGTATTTGACGTCGGCACGCAAGTTATCTGTACGTCTAGACGTCAGTCCACGGTGTTTTGAATTTGGGAATCCAGTGAATTATCACCTTTGAACGATGCAGTGGGAGCCCCATTAACCAAAACGTAGTCCTCTTCTACAGGTGCAACCGTTTCCGGCACGGCTGTTACAGTGACTTGCGGAGAGTGGATGGTGGTCGTCAAGGTCTGCAGTTTTGTAACGGTTACGGGCACATGAATGGGTTGAATGGCGTGCATGTGTGTATGCGCAGTTCGCTCTGAAGGAACGAAGCATTCGGGCTCAGGCAAAGAGTGTTTGGATAAAGGAGTGGAGGACAATTGGCCGATATAGAATGTGATAGAACTCGCGAGAACGATAAGTACGATCAAGCGAATGCGTACAAGAGGTGTGCCATTCGGGCTACGCATGTGTTGAAACGGAAGAAAGAAAGTGTACTGAATATGGGAAACCTGACAGCATCCTAGACATATCATTCTTCGTGTGACAGACGATCCTTGATTGTCAGTTTTTAAATTACGGCAGTAGCCTGAGTTTTGACCACGTCACGAGACACCCGCGAGTTGAGCTTCATGGAGACTAATTTGCATGGCAGGTCGGTAGGTAGGTAGGTGGGTAGGCCGGGAACCGGAAAGGTCTCCCCAGCTCAACCTGCGGAAAGCTAGATCACGAGTACATTTGGATTCTGACATACAACAGAGAATAGATATGGATACAGTCAGTTACAAGTACAAGACGAACGCAGGGCATTATGGCGAATGGATTTGAGTTGCAGATGTCCACGGGGATACTTGAGGGCTGGCTGTTCCTCCGCTGGTGAATGTTGGCGTGTTGTTTTGACTGGGCTCATATTGGAAATGCTCACCAGGAGTGAGGAGATAAATTCCAATACTGCGTGGGAGAAGATGCCGGCGACGCTTGATAAGAGATGCAAGAAAAGTCTGGGAATTTGTTCCAGATAACGGACATGGAATCGCAGAGGAAAGCCTACCCGGGTGCCAAACAGATTTGCATGACCTGCAGAGCAATCGATCACAGTGAGGACATCGTATGCAGGTCCTCTGCGGGGAAACGCCGCCCACAGTCGGCGCTTCCTGGCTATCGAATGGCTTTTTGCAGCCATCATATGCACTGTAATCCATGTATTCGAGCTCCGTGTGAAAGCAGGAAACGAAAACAGACCATTGCATGACACGGAGAGAAGCAAGGAACTGGGCGTGGTTCCACTCGTCCATATTAGACTCGCCCAGCACTACTCGCGCTACCGCATCGTTGATGAGACTCAGGCGTCCCGCTTGTTTGGACTGACAAGTCTTCGGCCGCCTCGTCAGCTTCCAATCCATTCGAGACATGCAAGGCACTCACAGGACAAGGGATGGGAAACTCAGGATTCCCCACTCGCGGCACCTCCGGTGCATACGACGGGAGGTTGGTCCCGTACATTGCGGGATCAAATGCCATGTTCAGGCCGTGATATATTGCCTGTGCAAGGCAGGCCTGGGGACCAATCAGCAGATTCCCATTAGGATCAGCGCTCGACTGACCCCACAATGTACATGTCGGCACGGTTCGAGAGCAATTCCGAACGGAATGCTGTCCGAAAGCCTGTGCTCGGAGATGGGCGACACATTTGGGCTATTCAAGAATGAGATGTGTCGAAAGTTGGGACTGTCTCGAATCGACCTCCGAGTGCGCTGCCAGGGATTGGGGCAGATCGTGCACGGTTCCATACAAAGACGGCATTTTGGCAAACTTGATTTCTTCTCGGGCGTGCAGTCGACTGAGCGATGGATTATGAGGCCAGGATACGCTGCACGGCTGGTTGGGACGTACCGCTAACAGACGACCCCGAATCTTGCGTGCCCCGAAGTGTATCTTCGCTCTCTCTTCCCAAGGCTTCCAAAACTGCACGAGCCTCTGCTTGTTGTGCTTCTTCTTCTTCTGTCAAAACGCGTTGCTTCTCGACGAGGGCCGCCTGCGTCTGGCGCACCCATTGGCGCTGTTGATCATAAACACTGACAAAGTCTTGCAAGGCTTGCGCGCCTGGGGGAGCAAAGTGACCTTCCTGTTGGATTGATCTCTCAGTAACAACAGCATGCGTCATTGTCACCGGACACACATTCTTCATGAAGGCCTTGTACCTCTTCAACATCGCGACAAGGTTAGAGATTCCGGGGAGGGAGAGACAGTGATCGCCTCCCGTGCTGGTCTAAGATCATCGAAATCTTAGGTGGCGGGGCGGAAGAGGCTGATAATCTCTGCCGCCCACGAACGTGCACTGCCCTGATAAAGCCACTAGTCTCGTAATTTCACCTGACGGTGACACCGGGTCAAGAACGTGGGGATGGACGGGCCGCGGCGAGCGGCGAATGTCCCCGGTGGTATGTTTTGTGTCTGTTGAGGTTTCAAGGCCCAAGACCCGACTTCGACCAAATAGGGGACTGGCAGAGAAGAAACAATGACATAATATGTCATCCGGCACAGCCGCCATGAAATGTTTTGTACAGTTGGATGAGTACAGGTAGGTCGAATGGTAGTATAGGCAGTGCATAAGATATCGGCAGATGTTACAGACAGATAAGGAGTGGATCCGAGATGGTCAGCGTGAGATGGATCAATGTAAAGATTGAATCAGCGGCGTTCTCTGACTTCGAGAAGATTCTGTTCCTCCCACACCTTGCATCCCACACCTGGAGACTTCAAGAAGGAGCACAAAGAAGAAGGACAAAAGTCGCCTTACCTCCTTTACAACGATATTTCCCTTTGTCGTGTTCAAAGTCAGCGCCACAAGTGTAGCAGAACTGTTTCATACGAGTCAGCGCCCTTCATTATTCGACGCCGGGAGACGTACGTGGTGTTTGCAGATGCAAGTGATATGACTGGGAGGCAGTTCAACAGCTATACATCAGCAAAGGATAGGAAACATACTTGCAGCCGAACTAAGCAAGACGTCAGTCAGAAGGAATGTTATAATCAGTGGAAGGCACCGCACCTTGAGCTCGACCATAGCCGAGCACTGTGCATCCTGTCAGCTTGAGAGCGAGGGAAAGACACGGCGTACTTTTGGACAACGTCGCCACTTTTCCTGCTCGGCCAGATTGGCGAATGCGATGTCCTCGGGAGCACGCTCTGCGATTGGCAATGCTTGATACGCCTGGCACGTCAAATCTGCGATGCGAGTAAGTACAAAACCCATGACCGAGATGGTGCAAGTTGAGCTCACTCTCGTGCCACAAAGACTTGCAAGCCTTGCAAAGTGAGCCTCGACAGCGTGGGCACTAAGGTCACATTTGATGAGATTTTGACCTGGCACGCAGATGATCAAGACGAACTTGGACCAACGTATCAGCATGTTCCACACCGCTGGGAGCAGGGGCCACATCATCCGCATCGAAACACTCGTCGCATCCTTTATGCGGGCTTGCAGAGATGAAGTTCGTAGTTCCAAACACGAGAGAGATGACGCACCAATAAATGAGATTCAGCGAGGACAAGAACCGCGCGTGATTCCACTCGTCCATATTGTCTTGGCCCAACACCAGACGAGCCGTTACGTCGCTGATTTCGACGGCCTCTTCCCCAGGCTTGACTTGACACGTCTACCACGTATCTCAATCATGATACGTATTCGGGCAGGCGTGATGGATAGATGCAACGTACGGGACATGATATCGGAAAGTCTGCGCGTCTACCTGGTTCCGCGAGCTTGTTCTCTTTCAATGCCGTCCCATAGAGCGCAGGATCAAAGGCTATGTTGAGGCGATGGTATATCGCTTGAGCCAGACATGCCTACATGGCGTGGGGTGTCGGCGCGTAAACATTCGAGGGACCGCACGAGACTCACCCCACAGAAGTAGTGCTTGCAAGTTGCAAGTTGCATTCCATGGAGAACAGGCTTGCGGGGTACGCGGGGTTGTCGATCACCTTCCTCCTCGTCGCCAGAGTCATCCGAGAGCTCCGCCATCATGCGTTCACTGTGCAGTGAGTTACGACGTGTCCGGCAAAGTTCCGGAGTTGTAACGCACGTCTTGGCAAGTTGCCATGGATTGACGGAAACCTGGATATGCTTGAAGCACACAGAACATTTCGGACCCTTAGGCTTGGGTGGTGGAGCAGCAGGCGCTGTTCCAGCTGCCAGTTAGTACGAGAGAGGCGGAACTCTAAGTACGGCGCACGAGTGAAGGTGTCCGTCAGATTCAGTTGTTGTTTCTCGAGCTGTCGCAGCCTCATGAGCTCCCGCTTATTCGGATCTACCCTATCGTCGAATTCTTGTACATAGTCTCGCAATGCTTTAGAGCCGGGAGGCTCAAAGTTCCCTGTCTGGGTGGTCGTGTGAGCGCAGATTTTGCACGGCAGTGCTGAGGCATACATTGGACATGCAATTGCCCATTGCTGCCAAGGCCCCGAGCACAAAAGGGAATACGAGGGATGTGGGTGAATGAGATGCGACAAGAAATCTCTTCCCATGGCCTCAGGGCCTATAAGGCTGATCCAGTCACAAGCGGGTGACACAGCCTACTATAGTATCGGTCGGAAAGGGATTCCAAGCACGAACGTGCCTCTGTTCAGTTAGGTCCGAAAGCGGTGATTCATGACAGATGTCGGCAAGCAAGCGGACCTGACTCGATGTCAGAAATACCGACTCAAGAGACTTGAGTGAGCGGCTGTATCAAATAGATAAGCGGCGAGAGCGACCTAACGAGCGACTGCAAGGAACAAGGAAAGGGGTTCCCAAGCCCATTTGATTGGCGATCAGATCCAACTGCTTTGACAGTTTCGACAGTTCAGCGTTCTCAAACATATCGGCGTCCTTTGTCTTGTGGCTTGTCACCAACCAGACATGATTGACGGATTGCCCATTTTTGAAACTTAGGGAAAGTCCAAGCTAAAATTATGTATTTCACATGCGAGATTGATACAAGACGTCGATATAGAGGATAATATAGTCAACATCAATGACGGATGCGTCGAACGCGCAGCGGCATATTGTCAGAAGGTTCTGAACAATCCAGTGAGATAGACAGAGAGACAGACTCGAGACTCACTCATTGTGATAGCGGCTGCTGGATGCGCGATCTGTCCCGAGTACGCAGGACTGAACTCAAAATTATAGACCAAGGCACTACGAACGGATCAGGACCAGTGTTCGGGTCCTGGATTTTGCTCACCTTATAACCGCCTTCATCTCACTTACTGCCATTGTTTTGCCGATACAACCATGGGGGCCGGCGATAAATGAGAATTGGGAAAATGTCGCGTTGTAAGCTTTAGGCAAGTCGAGCCAGCGACCTGGGCGAAACCTGGTTGGACATGAGCCGGTCACCCCAGACCCCTCGAATCAGCACCCACTCGTCGGCATCTTCGCCCCATACTTGTTTCCAAGTGTTGATGACTCGGATCTGAGTGCTTTAGCAATCGAACGAACTCGTTGAGTCTATTCCGGAACTCACCGGGAACTGGATGACAGTACCTTCCGGCACTAACACACCCGCAACATAGTCGGTCTTTGCTGCCTTGCGCATTGTCAGTGGAACAGGCGGAAGAACGCGCAGTCCCTCGTTCCTGCATCGCCTCGTAAGGAACAACTAGAAGTTGGGTTTCATCACATACACGACACAGTCCAGCCAAGTCAGACTTTTCAGCGTGCGGTAATCTGGACGAGGATTCAAAGCATAGATGTGAGTTACTTCTTCGCGAAGTTTGTGCTGGCTCGCTGGATCATTGGCTAGAAGCCAGAGAGTCTACGATCGTGATCAAGAACCAGAACGCAAAGAAAGCAGCCGCCGTACCCAGGTGATTCCGGTGGCAGTGGTCTCATGTCCAGCAGCAAGGAAGGTCAGAACTTGATCGACCATGGCCCTATCAGACATCGCATCGGCCCGGGGATTGGCATCCAATTCTGCCTTTCGCTGACGAACAAGCAGAGACATGATATCCTTCTTGGTGCTGGTGTCATCCGGCGACACACTGAGATCTGTCGTTTTCTCCAGTAAAAGCTCCCGAGAGATTCGACGGATCGTGTGCAAAGTTCCGACAAGCGTGTCCAGCGCTGAGAGGAAAGGGATGTATCGGATTAGATGACGGTGCTCAAACATCCAATCAGTCGTCAGCAGTGTCTTGACGCCCGGGATTGCTATGACTGCGATGAGCTTCGCGAGGTTGACTCCGGACTGAAGTGAGAGGAGGCCTTCAAAAGCGACCGCTAATTCGTTGTGTGGATTGTGCAGACAGTCAGGTTCGTATCCGAAGGCCGTATCACAAATAATGTCCAAGGTGACTTTCCCCACTTGACATTTGAATCAGCCAGATGTGTAGAGGGATATCTCAGACACAAACTCCATTCATAGACCATGAACACTTTGCCATCGGCAGCAGCAGGTTCCTGCTCAATTTCTTGAGAGAGAAGGGTTACGAGGCTTCCAGACCATGAGTCTTCGTAATTTGGTGCTGTATTTATGTGATCGATACCTTTCGATGGGTCCATGATACATGTCCGCCTCTGAACCATTGAGCTGGAGTGACGATATTGTTAAAAGATACTTACGAGCCATAAGATTGGCGATGGAGAAAGCCGGATTCATAGCTTTGCGCAATGACTTGTGTTCGTCGCCTGTGATTGTCAGAAGACCATACCCCGCCACAAGCCCGAGAACGTCTCGCATGAATTGAGGGCGGGGGTAATCCAACCAATCGTTCACGAGTATCTCTTTCAAAGCTTGGGTTTCCAGAACGACGAGCCGTTCGTCCCCAAATAAGCCGGTGAATCGAACGAAAGGTCCATAGGCGGCAACCCATTGCTTTTGGGGGATGCAGGTTTCCTCTTTCACGATAGTGAGATAGTGGCCCAGAAGGGGATTTCCGAGAGGAGGGCCAGGGACGTGACGGAGTGGAGAGAAAAAGCGAGGATACAGCAGGACCCGATACAGCAGAACATATAAGCCGTAAGCTATCCGAAGATCGTATTGATCAGCCCCTCCGCTTAGATGCGGTCAGACAACGTTACCGGCAGCTGAGAACGCAAAGAAACGTGCCAGAGACACGACTGGGAGTTCGGGGAGGCTGCAGCAGGTGGTAAACATGGTTAACGACAAGTTAAGAGACCCTGAGAAATTCGAATATCATATGCATGTCAGGGAGTGCTGTTTGTGGAATCAGCTGATTCTGCGACCTGAACGGATGCAGTTGACCGGCGCGGACGGGAATACAATGGAACTGTCTACGAGCCTCATAAAATCGGAGATGAGCCCTTACATGCCCGAGAGAAATGACTGACAGATAAGGCTGTGATGTCCAGATAAGTGAGGTGCGCCTTAAGCGCATCATGAACCGCATAGGAACTTCCCTGGAAATGTTCTGATGGCTGTAAAACAGCTGTCCTCTCATTTGGGATAGAAAGCCGGGAAGAATGACAAGTCGTGGAGGGTTTGAAGACGCTCGGTGATCGTCCATTACAAGCAACATCTAGGACGATCTACAGGAAACGTGATCAGTGATCACACAAACAACCGACGCCATCACTTCTCCCGGGGCCGTCGTCGTCGTTGTGGTCTCTACACCGTCCACTCGCGCTCATGTCGTATACCACCCCTGCGGCCCTAACGCCTCAGCGGCCGGCGCCGCAACCCACAAAGTGAATGATCTCATCTTCCGCTCTTCAGGTTGCTCAGTCATCCGTCTGCCAAATCTAGCCTCGCCACGAACGGTTATAACTCCGCCTTCTCCTTCAACTCGAGCTCCCCAAGCAGCTCGTCCTATTCGACGACGTACTCTGGGATCGGCGGGTCTCCATCGTCCCCGAATGGCAACAACATCGGTGGCGTAGTGAGACAAGGGCCTGTCACCGTCAAGGAGGAGGGTGGCCTGACCAGCTGGATCTGGAAAGTCAAGTGGCTGATTCTTAAAGATGCAGCCCTTACTTTCCATAAGTCTGAGGTCTGCATGTAGCCTGCAGGGTTATCCACCTAGTCTCACTCCTCTGTCAGACCTCGGGCCAACAATCTGCGATCCTGCTTCGCGATATCTCCAACATCGAGCGGGTTGACCTCAAGCCATATTGTCTCCTCATCGAGACTCAAGACCGCAAACAACGCATCTTCCTCTCGCTCAAGAACGACGAGGAGCTTTATGGTAAGTCTAGCAGTCACTCCTGATTGGCCTGCATCTCATCGGGTCAGGCTGGCAAGACGATGTCTATTCTCGCTCTCCTCTAATGGGAGTCAGCAACCCAACCAACTTCGTCCACAAGATCCATGTGGGCTTTGATCCTGTTAGTGGAGCTTTCACGGTGGGTATCTGCTCTCCTGCGCTGGTCGTAGCCAATTAATGACGGCAAACAGGGCATGCCTGAACAATGGACGAAGCTGCTCACCAAATCCGCGATTACACGAGAGGATTACGCAAAGGATCCTCAAGCTGTCTTGGACGTTCTTGAGTTCTACACGGATCACCAGAAACGGGAGATGGAGCGGGAACAGGAAATGTTGGTCGATACGGGCGAGTTGACTGTCCTACCTCTTTCTTTTCCACTCATTTTCGATGTAGGTGCGCCTCCCCGGTTCAACGCGGGCACTGGTCTGGGCGGGATGAGTAAAGCGGGATCAGGTTCAACCATGAGCTCGTCAACCTCTTCCCTCACCGACCGTCCCGGCATTAAGCGGCAAGAGTCGGCCCCTCCAGGGCTCGACGGCGCGATCAGTTCAGCAACATCCAACTCCTCATTCTCTCCACCCCGGACAACGCCCAACCAGCAACAGCCTGCTCTGCAGTCGGCTCGGCCCGCGCCACCGCGACCACTGCTGACAGGAACTCGCCCTGCCCCCTCCGCTCCCTCTCTACCCAACGGGGGCCCCGCCTCCGGCAAGATTAGTGGGGGTGATCTACCGTCTTCAGCCGATCTCCGTTTGCGGCAGAAGGCAGTTGGACCACCGGGCGCCGGTCTACCTCTTCGGAAGGATTCGTTGCAAACGTCGAACCAGCAGCAACAGAGGCAAGAGCAACGGGCCGAAGCTGCCAAACGCGAACGCGAACGAGAGAAGGAGCGAGAGCGGGAAGCACAGCGAGAGCGGGAGCAACAAGTTAGGGAGGACGAGCACGGTGCAGAACGACCACCGCTTGGGCCGCCGAGCAAAACGGCGCCTGTGCTCAATGCGCCGTCGACAACTGCCGCTGGCGCTGTCGCTGGGCCGCCCCCAGTTAAGCCGCTGCAGCCTGCGAAGAAGATCCAGTTCGAGAAAGCCGAGCCACCTGCAACTCAAGGAGTTGCAGCCGCCGCCGCCGCTCTAGAAAAGAAAGGCGGAGACATGAAGGAGAAGCGCATCAGCACGATGACAGAAGTTCAGATCATGGAGAAACTGAGGCAGGTTGTTTCAGATGATGACCCCAAAGCGATATACAGCAAGATCAAGAAGGTTGGGCAGGGGTGCGTGTGACAATGTCGCTTTTGCATCGTAGCGCTAATTGTCCTCACTCAGTGCATCGGGTCATGTCTACGTAGCCAAAACTCTGGCGACTGGCAAGAAAGTGGCGATCAAAGAGATGGATCTTTCACATCAGCCACGGAAGGAGTTGATCGTGAATGAGATCCTCGTGATGAAAGAGTCGCAGCATCCGAACATCGTCAACTTCCTCGAGAGTTATCTGGTCAAGAGCAACGAACTCTGGGTGGTCATGGAGTATATGGAAGGTGGCGCATTGACCGATGTCATCGAAAACAATACGATGGAGGAGGATCAGATCAGTAGCATCTGTTTGGAGGTGCGTAAACTTGAAAGCATCGAAGCGACCAGCATCTGAAAGCTTTCCGCAGACTTGCAAAGGATTGGGTCATCTGCACAGCCAGAGCATCATTCATCGTGATATCAAATCTGATAATGTCCTGCTTGATGCTCTTGGGCGCGTCAAAATCAGTCCGTCCTCCTATTCTCGCACGCGAACAAAGCTGACTCGATGCAGCTGACTTTGGCTTTTGCGCGAAACTCACGGACCAAAAGTCTAAGCGGGCGACGATGGTGGGAACGCCATACTGGATGGCACCTGAAGTGGTGAAGCAGAAAGAATATGGGGCCAAGGTCGATATCTGGTCACTCGGAATTATGGCCATCGAGATGATCGAGAACGAGCCTCCTTACTTGGACGAGGAGCCACTGAAAGCGCTATATCTCATCGCAACAAACGGAACACCGACTCTCAAGAAGCCAGAGGCACTCAGTCGCGAATTGAAGAGTTTCCTTGCTGTCTGTCTCTGTGTTGATGTCAGCAGTCGCGCAACCGCCAAGGAGTTGCTAGAAGTATGTTCTCCCCCGTCCCGATGACCGATGACGCGCTGACCAAATTTCCTTTAGCATGAATTCCTTCAGAAAGCTTGCGCCCTGGCGGGTTTGGCGCCTCTATTACGGTTCAAGACGAAGCAGTCGTAGCGCATTCACTCACATTTTCATGTACACCGGCTCTATATTTACCGATTGTTTCGACCTTCGCTCTCGCTTTCTTTATTGCCAGTCACTCTTCTTTGCCATACATTATCTTTTCTGAAAAAACAGCCAATGAGCGTCGCATCTTTGCCATGTTTCTCTTTTTCTCGTGCCAAGCAAGAGAAAAGCCGGTCGTGGCGGAGCGCTCCGTCGCTGTGACTCGATCAAATTCCATCTCTTATCTCACTGTCAGGTCTGCATGTCCACAACCGTGGTCCTCGGCTCGCAGTGGGGCGACGAGGGCAAGGGTAAGCTCGCCGATATCCTTGCTGGCGAAGCAGACATCTGCGCTCGCTGCGCGGGCGGTAACAATGCGGGCCATACCATCGTCGTCCCCATCAATGGCGTTCGCACAACTTTCGCTTTCCACCTCTTGCCAAGTGGTCTTGTCAACCCAAGCTGCATCGGACTCATCGGAAACGGTGTCGTCGTCCATGTGCCTTCGTTTTTCGCCGAACTCGATGCACTCGAAGCTCAGGGTGCACAATGCTTGATCCATCATCGTTACCATCTCTTACCATTGTCAGGTCTTGACTGTACTGGACGGCTCCTCATATCCGATCGCGCTCAGCTCGTATTCGATTTCCATCAGATCGTCGACGGTTTGAAAGAGGTCGAACTTGGTGGATCAAGGTAAGCACTCACCTGCGAGTGTCTCGCGACGATTCTCAGACATTCTGTTAGCATCGGAACGACTAAGAAGGGGATCGGCCCAGCGTACTCTGGGAAGGCTTCCCGATCCGGTCTGCGGGTTCATCATCTGTTCGATCCCGATACCTTTGCAGCGAAGTTCCGGAAGCTGGTGGAAGGTCGATTCAAACGCTACGGACATTTCGAGTATGATACTGAGGGAGAGATCTTACGTTACCGGGTTGGTCTTATCTCTATGATTGTCTTCGTCTCTGGCTGACAATTTCCGCAGGAGTTGGCTCAGCGTTTGAAGCCATATGTGGTGGACAGCGTTGTGTATCTACATGAAGCCCTTGCCCAGAAGAAACGCGTCCTTATTGAAGGCGCAAATGCTGCCATGCTGGATCTGGACTTTGGGACCTATCCATTCGTCACGTCGTCGTCTACTACCGTCGGCGGTGTTTGCACAGGCCTTGGTATCCCTCCTCGCATGGTCGGAACGACGATCGGTGTCGTCAAGGCATACACCACCCGGGTCGGAGGCGGGCCCTTTCCTACGGAGCAGTTGAATGAGGTGGGTGAGTTGCTACAAAACGTTGGCCGCGAAGTCGGTGTCACAACTGGCCGCCCTCGGCGATGTGGCTGGCTCGATCTGGTCGTACTCCGACACTCTTGCTTGATCAACGGCTACGATGTGCTGAACTTGACCAAACTCGATGTGCTGGACTCCCTTTCCGAAATCCGAATCGCTGTCTCGTACAAGAAGGGCGGGTCTGCCCTCGCAGGCTTCCCAGCTGATCTCGGTGTGCTGTCAGAGGTTCAAGTCGAATATCACACCTTGCCTGGCTGGCAAACATCCATCGCCGACACTCGCAAATATGAAGATTTGCCTGCCAATTGCCGGGCGTATGTGCAGTTTATCGAGCAGTTCCTCGATGTTCCCGTCAAATGGATTGGGGTCGGTCCTGCCCGTGATGCCATGATCGTCAAGGAAGTTGCGGTAAACTAAATGTAAATCGAGAGAATAGATTATTCATATCCATTATCCGGGCTTAGCTCTAGCGCGTTCAAATTGGAGAGTCTTACAGCATGTGTGGGAATAGAAAGCATCGACGTTATACGATATGCGAAAGTGGGTATGTGATGGATAGATCAGGGAACTGGGGGGATTTCTGGAACCGGAGGAACCGGCTGCTTGGCTGGCCGCTTGAGCTTCCGCTGTTCTAATTCACGCGCCCTTTGGTCCTGCTCGGCCTGCATGGCCTGCATGATCTGCAGCTGTTGTGCGATGAAATCGGAAGTCCCAGGTCTACAGCTGGGATGAGCATCGATGCATCCGGGTACGGCAGTGGCCGTCAGCTTACCTCATTCGAAGGATACGCATGACTGTTTCTCCGCTGGAGACTTCCTTTTCCTCCCGTTTCTCCTTCTTGCGCTCCTTGATAGTCCCGAGATTCCGCTGCTGATACACGCTCTTGACTCGTTTCTTCATTGTTGGTGTTGATTTGAGGCTCTGTTGCATCATCCTCACGCATTCCTCCATGAGAAGATCCCTGTCATGAAAAATCCCAATCAAGACTGGACGACGGCAGAGCAGAGAGCTTACGTGTGCCAGTCATAATACAAACGAATCGAGACGACATCGCGATACTTCTGATTCTGGATCGCCTCGAGAGGGACCGGCCCTTCGCCATTCGCATAGAAGTAGTCTCGTAAAAACTGAAGCCACAATGAGGATAAGAAATGGTGATACCAGACGGACGCACTTTCAACCACTTGAAGACAACATCAACCTCCTTGTCCGTGAGAGGCTTCATGTCGCTCGAGATATCGGAGAGCGGTGGGATCAGGAGACCCTCGATGATGTTGAGAATCTCCTTCCAGACTCGTGTCATGACCATCTCCTTCGCTGTGTCACTGAGATACGTATTGAGAGTTTGCAGATTGGCGTCGAAGTAATCGAAGAGAGGCAGGATGGCTTGCTCGATCTCAACATCAGTCAATTCGTCTGGCCGGATACGGGGTTTCTCGGAGCTCGGCAGCGGAATCTGCACTTCGTTGGACGATGTCCCGATAGCAGAGCCCCACAAAGCGGTGACATTGCTGATCGCTTTGTTGTAGTCCAATCCTGATGCGCCGCCTTTCAGAAGAGATTTGAGTACGCTGCGAGACAAGCATTGCTGGATGAATGGTGCCATCTTAAAAACGCTTAGTGACTGGCAGGACGGAAAGATTTCAACCAGTTACCTTGTCGATGAAGATGCGGACCATGTCTGACTCGGCGCGCTTCAACGAACGGAAGGCACGCCCGAAGTAGAATAGAATATCATCCTTCTCCCCTTCCATGCTGATCCTCACCAACACACGCCCTTGAGAATCCAAGTCCATCCACAGGTCATGCGTCAGGAAATCGCCAAATCGTCTGGGATCCAAGCAGAGATAAGCTCGGCCGACAGTGTCATGTTTACCGACCAGTGCCCGGTCTCTTACACTGACCATGAGCCACAAGGGTTTCTCGACTGAGATATCGAAAGTCTCATCCCCTGTGATTGGTCAGCACGAGACAACATGCGAGAGGGCAGTGCGACCCACATCGTGGACTCAAGGTGTCATAAATGGTTCTCGTTTTTGCCATACGGACACCATTCTCGTCACTTAACGTCACGAACGTATCAGCCATACGAGATGGACTGCTGTCCAAAGGCACCAGACCCTCGGCAATAACGATCTTGACAGAGAAGAGGAATCGTTCTGCCTCTGTAGTCTTGTTCGGAACAGGCGGCATCTGCTTGAGAATATCGGAGATTTTGTCAGCCTGTGTTTCGTTGTACATATTATCCAACAGTCGCCGGGCGGCTTCGACGTTGTTGAGCTTGACACATGTCTGCGGCTGGAAGTTGAAAGGCTCGACTTTCTTATCACCCGACGCCGCCAACTGTCGCGCCTTTTCAAGCCACGCGGACGACTTCTGGGGTTGCAGATAGTCTGAAGGGCGCGGGAACATCTCGGTTAGGAAAAGCCCTTCAACAGTCCGGCAATAGTGCTCGATAGCTTTGGACATGCTCTATAAACCGATCAGACATAAGAGAGAAGAGAAAGCAGAACGGGTGGACCTTTGATAGAGATGTGAAGAATCGAGCCAGCTGATACTCGTCGTCCCATTCGAGATCATGCAAAAACCCGACAGGACTGCGTAGCGAGTCAAATAGATCTACGATAGAGGAGCTGTGGCCTTCGGAGCCTTCAGCTTCGAACTGCGCCAGGTTACAACGAATGCAGACTGCAGGTAGATCCAGCTCACCTTGTCTGCTGCAATAGCCTGTCAGGATGTGAGCGCAATTCCAATCCTAACGCTACGAAGACGCACAGCTTCAACCCACTGCGACGTTTTGCTGTCTGTCGTTTGAAGCCATTGCCGAACATAGGGCTCGTAAAACGTGTTGATGTCAAATTCGATGGACGCACTGCTCCTCATTGGATTCATCACGAGGGCGAAGATGGATAATCACACTCACTCAGGGCAGAAAGCGCTGAACATGCCAAGCAAAGTCTTGGACCGTCGGTACAATGCGAAAATGTCTTGAATGGGCACATCTGGTGTTGGCCCATTCATCGAAGATTCGAACAAACGCTTTTGGGATGACTGGATTTCCTGTATGAAGCTGGGGATTGTCGCTTCTACGAAGAGGGAGACAAGGTCAAGTTTTCTGCATCGACAGCTCAGACGAGGAAGACGGATTGGAAAACAAGACCGTACCCCAATAGCGCCTCGGGGAACCGTTTGTCAAGCAGCTTGGCGGATTTTTCGAGCTCGTCAGTCATGAGCAGTAACGGCAAAGCGCGGTTGACTCCAGGGGCAGACTGCAACTCCTGCAGCTTGAGATCATACCATCGACCAGAAACTTGTCGAATTTGAGTCTGCACGTCGTTCAGCCGAGCGTCGATGTCCACATCGAATCCAAACAACTCCAATAGCCCACTGTCGCGGATATGTTCGAGCACAGACAGAAATGGCTCGACCTCAGAGGCTTTGATGTTGGGGACAGCATCCATAGCATGGTACAGGTTCGACAAAAAGGTGTTGAACAGTCCGCCGTACACATGTGCCAGATACTCGGACTGAGTAGATGATCAGCGGCTTGGTCAGGATCTTCGAGACCACTTACGTCAGCCGACGGCCACTCCTCTGGCTCGGTGTCGCTCGAGACCTTGCTGATGTGAGACAGTGCTTCAGGTATACACTCCAAGGGGATGTCCTGTCGCTCGTAAAATTGCTTTACGATGTCCACAAAACATATTGCCCGATAAGCATGCCCGATTCTCCAACGCAAAGCACATTCATTCAGTAAGTCCAGATGAGGGGTCGAAAGAATCCCAAGCGAAACCTCGTCGTTGTCATCGACCTCGGGACTGAGCATAATTTCCAGATCTGTCAATAGACAATGCTCCAGCAGCCGTTTGTAGTGCTTCTTCGGGTTAGGAGGTATGAACGTAAAGTTGTGTCCCACAGTGATTTCATCGTCATCGAGCACATCGTCCTGCATCATCTCACTATCCAGAGCGTACAGAGATCGTCGACTGCCGATGGATGTTGTCCGAGCAGGTGCGTCGTAACCCGAATACGACGACACAGGTCTTCCGGCAGACTCTCTTTCTGCTGGCGTCGACTTGGCAAGTTCCGGATTGAATTGGACCATCGCAACTACCATCTGTTGGAGGTAGCTTGTTTCCGCGGTACGCCAGTTCTGCCAAGCGGAATCCGTGCTGAAGTCTTCACGTCGTCCAGGAAAGGATGCACCTGCATTGATGTTCTTCAGACACGTCTGAGCAGAGTTAGACTTGATCAATCGCTTCAAAGTCTTGACTTACCTTGAGATCCACCAATGCAGCCTTGGGCGTGCAAGTTGCCCTGAGTGAATCCACCTCTCTCTGCAGCTGGGACTCCGGTATCCGGAACAGCCCAGCAACAACTCGCACCAGTTCCATATCCATGACGCTATTGCTGATTGCCGGAATGGAGATGGAGTCGCGAGTGGAGGAGGAATCGTATCCTGAATCGTTCGAGCTCTGTGGAGCTAATTTGGACGCGTACGTATCCAGCCTGCTTAGAAGCTCCGGCGAAACGTGGTTGACGGTCCGTAAACACTCTCGCAGCATCTTGACAAAGGTGGCGATCTGATTGTTCAGCTCGAGTTTCCATCCATCGCCGGCCAGAGAAGGCTCCTTCTTCAATACCGTCGTCGCATGTGTTGCAAACATTAGGATAAGCTCCTCTATCTTCCGATTCTCCTTCATCTGTCGCTTGAAGCTGTCGATTTGGAACTGGCCGTAGAATTTGGCCATGGTTCGACGGACGAGTTGCTCCGAGTAGCTGCATGGCGATTAGCACAAAGATTCTTGAAGAGGTGATACACACCTGGGGTCTTTGCCCATGGCAATATTCTGCAACTTTTGTTCCAAAACCTTCAACAGCTTCTCCGGAAACTTCACACTCTTAGAACCATCTCGAATGTCTTTGAATAGGTCGCCAATGGAGAAATTCGAAAGTGCAGACAGCCTCGAATGCTCTTTGTCTCGCAGATCGGAGCTCGTGGACACTTGTGTCGTTACTTCAGTTGGCTTTGGGGTCATGAGATAGCTCAGGTAACTGTGTGAAGCATAAACAGCAGCCGAGTGTCTCAGCAACCAAAGCTTACGATACACGGAGCACGTAGCTAGCAATAAACATAATGAGAGTTCTGAGAGCTCGAAATATAGTGACGCACTTGAAGAGATCATCATCGCTAACATATCTGGAAGATATGCTACCAGACACGCTGTGGTAGCTCCGTCGAGACATAAGTGGTGGCGACCTGGGCGTGAGGATTTGTTAAAGAGGTGAAGGCTGTCCAGACGGCAATTCCGGCGAGAATCACCGCCTTGCGCGAAACCGACTCGGTGCCAGGTGGTAGTGGGCAAGTCCAAATGAGGACCAAATTTTCACACGCTGCGCTCAGTCCTGGTCCCCGGTTGCTGATCCGGTTCCAGCGACGGAAGTCATCATAGGTAAGGATATACAATGAAAGCTAAACACAGGGATAATATCTCTGTTGTAGCGTGCTCCGGGGATAGAGACAAAGGTCCCATTCGATGTGCAATGCGGTCATTCCTCATGACCAGTGTACATATGTGATAAGTTGCTGTGAATGCGACCCAGCACTGACTCATCTGTGAGTCCTCGGAAGAAACTAGATCTCTCTTCGCTTGGGATCTTTGAGTCTGTTCACTGAGCATTTCAAATAAACACCTCATCTAATTGTCTACCCAACAAGTCCGGGATCAGCCAACTACCAGGATACAGAAACGAGAGAAGGAGAATCAGGATACGATCTGATGTGTATACATATGAGACCTATGTAACAAGGCAGTTCGTGGAGGTCCGCTATGAATTCACATCGGCGAAAACCCTCCGAAATCCAAGAAAGCCTCTTCGATGGACATCTTGCGGACGACGAGTGCTTCCACTATCAATCGTACCTGGGTGGAATCTATGTTTGAATCGTTCGGAGTGACAGGCACAGCGAGCGTGGAGGAGGCCAAGGAAGTGAAAACGCCCGGGGTTGCGACTACAGGAGACGGGAAAACGTCGTCATCGTCATCGTCGTAGTTGTCCGCGACTAGCTCGGCTTTGGGGACAGCTTCATCAGTAGTGGTGACTTCGACTGTCGGAAGAGAGGTGTCAAAATCTGGAGCGATAGTCTGCTCGTGTGAATTGGTTTCAGCTGTTGCAGGGTCCATTGTGATCTGTAAAGCTCCAAGACTTGACACCAGTGAGTGGGATACATCAGCTTGTTCATACTGCATCAAAGCTTTCTTCCGTTCCTCGCGTCGACGATCACGCGCAACACGTCGACTATGCGCCTTGTTAGGGAATTGCTGGTCTTCCGGTCTACTGGCATTCAATTCGGCAGCGACAGCCTTCGCGAAGGAATTGAGCTGATCCGGAAGATGTGGGCCCTTCTTTCCTTTCGTGCGCTTGGTCTTTTTTGGGGAGGAAAGAGGCATCTCAGGCTGCACATGCGCTCGAGCACGCATTGGACGCGGTTTGAAGACAGAAGCGATTTCCAGGTCCACAGAAAACCGTATTGGAGGAACCGCGACTAAGGCGTCCTCATCCTCAACATCGTCCATCGAAAACATTCCCATCCCTTCAAATTCTTCAGCGTCCGTGACTGAGAAGTCGGTTGCTGTCGTAGTATTCGAATCGTCCTCAGAACTCATCAGCAAGCCTGGCCGTTTTTGCAAACGCTTCCCATTGAGCGAGTTTGACTGAGCCGACACGTAGCCAGCAATGGCGGCGGGAACTTCGATCTCTTTCACAACAATGACACTGGCGCCTGATAACCTTTGCATAAGCTCAGCGGATGATGACGCGCAGAGAAGACGAACCTATTTCCCCAGCCATCATCTCCAGCGTTTCCAAACTCTGCTCGAGCTCATTCCGCGGCAAACCAACGAGCATGCCTGAGTCTGCCACGCCCAGCTCATAGTAGGCCTGTCCGCCGCCCTCGAGAAGACGCCACTTCATTTGTGTGACGAGGCGCGCGAACCGTGCAGGTGATGGGTCAAGGAGCTGGAGCTTGTACTCGATATTACCCTCGTCAGACTCTGGTACGAGTCGCGGGATGTTTAGTGGACTGGGCGAGGGCGATGGTGGAGTTGAGATAATGGTGTCCCAGGGACTGGGAACGCGCGGGCTTTCCGAATCAGATTCTCCGAACATGTTTGCTTCGAGATTTAGGTCTTGTGTGTTATTCGAGGAATCATGATCAATGTAGTAGAGTGTGAGGGAAAGACTGTGCTCATGGATCTACAGTGACATGGTGGTAGAAGGTAGGTGTTGAATAGGCGCACCGCCACTATGAGCGATGGAAAAAATACTTCCCCTCGCTGTTCATGGCTACCCATGACTCTTCGCAAGGGGGAGGACCACATATCTTGTAAGAGCTCAGATACGGAGAACGGGTGCAGGATGGAATCAGTACAAGTGTAGCGCTTGCATGAGCTTGCCTCCTACGAGATTCAGTATATTGTGGTTACAGCTTCAACTACCTATTCACACAGATGCTGGAAATGAGAAAGGCGCGAGCGAAAGAACAGTGGGTGTGCGGGTGGAAGAGTATGCGGAGTATATGGGTAGGTACGTTCGGGATGTAGGAATGGGGGTTTGGGAATACATGGCGATGGCGATGGATGCGAAAGCGATAATATATATGTATCTGAACGCACGTTAGAGAAACGACGTATTCAATAGAGATTGTCACATCGCTTACGTGTATAAACAGTCCCTTCCGTTTACGCCTTGGGGGCGTCTTTGAAGGAAATGGCCTGCTCTTCACCCATAGCGCTGACGATGGTAACAAGGAGGTCCTTGCCGCTATCGAATTCGCTCTGGATCTGGTTGCCGATGTCACCCTCGGGGACGCGAACGTCGTCCTTGGCAGTGCCGTCTTGAGTCATCAAGTTGAGGAAGCCATCGTCGATGTTGACCTGCGTCAATTCAAGAGACCATCGTGAAAAGACGAAGAAAACCCACGAGCTGGTACTCGTTACGAGAAACGTTGGGAACATCCATGTTGTGGGTGGAAGGGGAGATATCTTCCTGTGAAGATCATCTATGTGACTGACATATCGGTGGATGGTTTGATGTACCAGCTTTTTACCAGTGAAGATCTGTGCGTTGTCTGTTAAACACCAAGAAAGAGCGGCAAAAAGGGAATCCGCTTACGTCGATGGCGACGAGGTGGACTTTGGCGTGTCCATGCTTGCCGGTCTTAGAGGTAGACATGTCAACGATCTTGCAGGGACGACCTGGGGATGAGATCGATGGTTAGAGAGTGCTTCGTAGATCGAAGATCGCGGCGAGAGGACCTTTGATAACGACGTGACCGTTCTTGCGCAGAGCAGAGCATTGCATCGGGAACGTCAAAGACGCGCCGGCGCTGGCCTAGAAAAATATTGGCACGACATCGCGATCCTGAGAAGATTTTCATGTACCTGCTCGAAGGTCTGATTGTGAGATTCATCGTCGGACATGACTGATAAAAAGGGAGTTAGATAGAACACGAAGCGATGTGGAAAGGGTACAGACTGGTGTGGTCGTTGAGAAGAGAGCAGGAGGAGGAAGGATGTAAGTCTAAGTTGGGTAAGCGAAAAACAGGGGTGGCTGTGTAGAGTTTGCCAGTATTTCTCTGGTCGAATCAAGAGGCCACTTATGGCTGTGCTGTCACGGGTTGACCTAATACCCTGTCACACCTAACACTATGGAATATGCTGCCAACAGATTACTGGACGCCGCTACTCAGCGCATGATCCACGCTGCTGCGTTCTCCAGGGCATCCACTCAAGCATGCAGCGTTCTCACAGATCTCCTTGTCCGTTATATATCTCTGCTCGCTGCAACAACCGGCAAATACGCGGAACACGCAGGCCGCACCAATCTCACCATGGCAGATGCTCTTTCTGCTCTCGAAGAATTGGGATCGGAGTCAGAAGATCTCATCCAGTACATGAGCGAGGCGAAAGAGCTGTCGCGATATGCGATTTACTCGCTGCGCCGAGTCGAGGAGTTGCACGAGTTCAAAGCTCGCTTGGGCAAGCATGCACGCGATGACTCTTTCATGCTGGAATACGAACTCTACGAGGATGCAAATCTGTCTGATGATGAGGTCATGGATGAAGAGGAAGAAGACGCAGAGCCTCTCTCGACGACGTCGCGTGCTGTCGATTGGGACGGGCACGTCCCGAGCTTTCTACCTGCCTTCCCCGAAGTCACTCCGGTAGCGCCAGAATCCCCACGTCCCGACTCTCCTCAGCCCATGCCTCCCACTGCCACTGTCGGGCTGCCCGGCGCTGCTGCATTGCCCCAGCTCACGGCCACTTCAACTTCAGCTGCCGACTACCTGATCCAAATCCCATATGACGAGTCTTCACTAGCCGAAGCCGCCCATTGGCATTTACCTGCGCAATCCATGGAACCGTCCGACGCGCCCTCTGCTATTGGTGCCAATCCTTCTTTTGATCCACCTAAGCTTGCCCTATACAAAGCCTTTGTTCATGCTCTCAGGCATCCTCAGCGAGATACGGGACCCTCAAATCCAGCTCGCCATCGCGTCTCAATGTCGTTGCTGCAACTAACCCAGGTCGTTCCTCGTTGGGATCTGCCTCCTTCGATGTATGCATCGTCGGCGCCTGGGCCTCCACGCGCTTGGCCGATTGTACCAACATATGCCAAGCCCATGAACGAAGCCGAGGTTCCACGACGTTTTCTTCCTACCACTCGAAATGTTGCATATCCTGAGCGCATAGAACCCATCGTTGGTTCGCAAGGTTCGCGCCTTCCTGAGCTTGCGCGGCAGGTGCTGCCTCCGACTATCTACAACCGCTTGACGCGCATAAATCATCCACCACCGCTGACTCGTGGTGCGAAGTCCCTAACGTATGGCCCTGGGGTACCAGCACCGTGGAACGCGCCGGATAACAAAGAAGAGAATGCCAAGGACCGAGATAGTCGGGAACCTAAAGTTGTGGATGCCCGGGTCTTTGCAACCTGGGAATACGAGGCGAAGGACTTTCGGAATCCAATACGAAAATCTCGCGCACAGCCTCCTGGGCCGGGTCCAACTTCGAGGAGAAGTAATCGCGCACAGTAGTTAGCACGTATCATAAATGGGAAAATCTGAAAAGATCAATCGAACGGTTCCTCTAGGTTCCTCTACACTTGAAAATATCAGCGACACCGCTTAATTGACGTGTGGCTGTGCTGTGTTGTGACTCTTTCTCGCAAAATTCGACTCAATTTGACTCGTACAACTGGGACTCTACTCATCGATAAATAGACTGCCCAGAGATCGGGTTCGATAATCATTCTTCGCGCATCAAAGAAGAGTTCTCTCTTCAAGCGCTTTCTATCCAAGATGGCCACCGATACGCAAACTATCGAGTTGGTTCAAGTACGCTTTGCACATGAGTATTCTATTCTCCTGCTTACAATGCGCGTTTTCAGACAGGGAAGCGCGATTATCTAATAGGACTTGAGAAAAAATATCAAGCACGATGGGCGCAAGAGAAAGTCTTCGAGGTCAACGCTCCCCCGGCTGCGGACTTACAAGGTCTTACACCAGACCAAATTCGCGAGAAATACCCCAAGTGGTTCGGCACTTTCCCTTATCCATACACGAATGGAAGCTTGCATCTGGGACACGCATTCACCATTAGCAAGATCGAGTTCGCAGCGGGGTACCAGCGTATGCTAGGAAAACGAGTTTTGTTCCCTCATGGATTTCACGTAACCGGTCTTCCAATCAAGGTGTGTGGTGGACCATCTGAGGCTACTATCGCGAACGACGGTCTACATAGGCGTCTGCGGACAAATTAGTGCGGGAAATGGAGATGTTTGGCAGGGATTTCGAAAACTTCGAGGAGGTTCAGCAGAAGTTGGCTGAAGAAGCTGAGGATGCACCCAAGGAGGAAAAGCCAGTTGTTGCGAAGGAGGGAGCCGTCGACAATTTCAAGGGAAAGAAGGGAAAGCTCCAGGCCAAGTCAACGGGACACGTTTACCAGTTCCAAATCCTGCAGTCCATTGGTATTCCGACGGCTGACATCAAGTCGTTCGCCGACCCTCAGCACTGGCTGGAGTTCTTCCCCCCTATCGCGATGGAGGACAATAACGCATTTGGCTCGCGTGTCGACTGGCGGAGGCGGTTTTTGACAACGCCTGCGAATCCGTACTACGACGGTTTCGTTCGATGGCAGGTGAACAAATTACATGCCATGGGCAAGATCAAGTTCGGAGAGCGATACACCATCTATAGTCCCAAGGATGGCCAACCATGCATGGATCACGATCGGTCAGATGGTGAGGGTGTCGGCCCGCAAGAGTACACGGCAGTCAAAATGGAGGTGGTGGACTGGAGTCCAGCAGCCAAGGATGCTATCGAGGGGAAAGTTGGTGGGCGCAAAGTGTTTTTGGTCGCTGCGACCTTGCGACCGGAAACGATGTACGTGCTCTTCGTTCCATCCTTCCCAGCACCTACTCACTCACGCAGGTACGGCCAGACCAACTGCTTCGTCGGTCCTACGATCAAATACGGCGTGTTCGCGGTCAACGACAACGAAGCTTTTGTGTGCACTTACCGAGCCGCACGGAACATGACGTTCCAGGGTATTACGAAGACACGCGGCGAGATCGATCAGTTGCAGGAGCTTGAAGGCTCGGCAATTGTGGGGACGCGCATCAAGGCACCATTTGCTATCAACCCGGAGGTGTACGTCTTGCCGATGGAGAGTGTACTACCTACAAAAGGAACTGGCGTCGTAACGTCTGTTCCATCGGACTCTCCTGACGACTGTGCGACACTCAACGATCTAGTGAAAAAGGCTGCATTCTACGGGATCAAGCCTGAGTGGGCTGCGATCTCACCTGTACCTGTCATCTCGACTGCTGGCTACGGCGACATGATTGCACCATCTTTGTTGAAGAGCATGAAGATCAACTCGCCGAAGGACGCCAAGCAGCTGGCTGAAGCGAAGGACATTGCGTACAAGGAGGGCTTCTACAACGGGACCATGCTGGTGGGCGAGTTCAAGGGCATGCGTGTTGAGGAAGCGAAGCCACGGGTCAGGCAGCGGATGATCGACGCCGGACTGGCCATGGCTTACGCAGAGCCAGAAGGCCTTGTAATCAGCCGAAGCACAGACGAGTGTGTCGTCGCGTTGATGGACCAGTGGTACATGGACTACGGCGAGGAGAAATGGCGTGCCGCGACAGAGAGAGCTCTATCGAAGATGCATTTCTACTCTGCTGAGACACAACATTCTTTCGAAGCGACTTTGGGCTGGTTGAATCAATGGGCTTGCGCTCGAACATACGGTCTAGGATCTGTTTTGCCATGGGACCCCCAGTTCTTGGTCGAGTCACTGACAGACTCAACAATCTACATGAGCTATTATACTGTCGCCCAATTGTTACATGGTGAGCTCATCTAACTTCTCTCGTCATTTTGTTCTGACCCGCATGCGTCCAGAGAATAGCATCGATGGCTCCGTCCCGGGGCCGTTGGGGATCACTGCAGAGCAAATGACCGACGAAATGTGGGAATATGTCCTATGTGATGGACCATATCCGCCATCGACATCCGTGCTGAAAGAAAAGGCAGACGCGCTGAAGCATGAGTTCAACTACTTCTATCCGCTGGACATTCGTTCTTCCGCGAAGGACTTGGTGCCGAATCACTTGACCTTCTGCTTGTATAATCACGTCGCCATCTTCCCCGAGGACAAATGGCCGCGGAGCTTCCGAACGAACGGACATTTGTTGTTGAACGGGAAAAAGATGTCCAAGGGCGCAGGCAACTTCTTGACCCTGCGAGAGGGCATTAAAAAGTTTGGTGCGGACGCGACGCGTTTGTCTCTGGCTGATGCTGGAGATGGTGTCGAGGACGCTAATTTTGACGAGAAGACGGCGAATGCGAACATCTTGCGAGTGCACACCCTCGTGAGCTGGTGCGAGGAGATGATCAAGGATCAAGCGACTCTCCGCACTGGAAAGAAGGGCTCCTATCACGATGTCGTTTTCGAGCAGGAGACCAATGAGCTTATCAACATCACTCAGTCTCACTACGAAGAGTACGCTACCGATCCGTGGTTTTCCTTGGTCGAGACTGACTCAGCATGCGCAGAATGAACTACAAGGATGCGCTCAAGTTCGGCTTCTATGAGCTGCAGTCTGCTCGAGACTGGTATCGAGAGGTCACGGCCGACATCGGCATGCATGCCGAGTTGGTTAAGAATTGGATTCAAGTAGCTGCGTTGCTGATCACACCGATCGCTCCCCATTTAGCAGAGCATCTCCATTCGACCCTTCTCCAATCGCCGACTTCAGTGCAGCTTGCTCTGTGGCCAACACCTTCCGAGACCGTTGACCGGACTGTCATCGAAACTGGCCTTTATATGCGTGGTCTCACCAAGACTATCCGCGATGCAGAACTCACTCTCGTCCGGTTGATGACCAAGGGTAGGAGCAAAGGCAAGACCGCCGACAAGGGACCCGCATTTGACCCGAAGAAGCCAAAGAGTGTTAGGATATATGTGGCCAGCTCTTTCCCCGACTGGCAAAACACTTGCGTCGCCATCGCCAAAGAGGCATTCGATGCGGACACCCAGTCATTTGACGATGCCAAGATTCGCGCCCTCTTGACAGAGCGTGGCTTGCTCAAAGACAAACGGGTTATGCCGTTTGTTCACGAATTCAAGAAGCGGGTCGCCGCTGTCGGTGAAAAAGCCTTCGAGCGCGAGTTGGCGTTTTCTGAGAGCCAGGTCTTGTCCGAGATTATTCCATACTTGAAAAAGTCTCTGACTTTGGTGGATGTGGATGTCTACTCGGTTCAAGAGGCGCTGAAACAGTCAGCACCCGGCTTCACCCCAACTATTATCGAGTCTGCAGTGCCAGGAACACCTGCGTTCGAGTATCGTAATGTCGAAAGAATGTAATACATAGACCTCGTTAATGATCCCCCATCCGTAAAGAACAAGGGGGGAGCGTGAGATATTGCCGTGTTTACTTTCGGCAAATTAGGTTGAGGCATCAGATTATCATCCCGATGCTCACCAGAGTCACCGGAACGTCAAGACTTCGTTCTTATCGTCGAGAGGAGACAAGGAATCGACGTAGCTTCCTCTTTGCAAAGTATCGCAGTAGGCCGATGAGATACTCCCGGAATTATGACTGTAGCAAAGACGAAGCCTTTACAAGAAACAAGAAGCGTGAAATATTGTTTGGAAGGCAGGAAGATAGCGGGTAGCGGTATTAGTACGTTTCGATGGAAGTTAAGCGATCAGCTGTATCTTATTGAAGAACTGGCGATACAGTTTTAGTGGGTTGACAAGTTTTCGGGTTAGCGAATCTGGACTCTGACAGCTGTCTTAAAAGCGTTTCTGCGACCGAAGTAATACTGGGCATTCGAGCCAACCGAAGACGACTCCACGAGGGAGTGTGAGGATTCTCAATGGTACTCCCTTGGTATTCTCCATTGATCCTTTTCGATTCCTATTAATAGCTCTCTTTCACTGTGCTGTCAAGATCAACACAGACTCGGCCGACCAAAAAACAATTGAGAAAGGTTCAAAGAAGGTAATGGCACTCAGGTTAATATGATGGCCATGTACAGATATGCCCCTGTTGTCTAATGGTTATGACGTCAGACTTCTAAATTTAAGATTATCTGGAGGCTGCGGGTTCGAATCCCGCCAGGGGTTTTTTATATATATATATATTGTTCATGTGTTGTGAATGAAGTTTATCCTGCTGACACTTGTCTATCTTTGTATTTTCACTAGCAGTGACTCGTGCTACCAATGAATGGCTTCAAATAGAGGGACTGATTTCAGTAAGGACCAACTTCCTTACTTGTGCTAAGGGCCTCACTGTGCTTGACCCTTTGCTCTGTTTGCTTGTGTGTGGCAGGTTAAGTTGCAGGCAAGATGTCAGAGAACCCTTTATGGTACAACAGTACTGTACTATTACAACCAAGTGTTCAGGTCACAGGTCACAATGGTGTCTCAGCTAAATTTTTGATGTGCTCAACATTCACAATAAATCAAAACAAAAATCTTTGGTTCCAGAATTTTGAAATTTTTTGAACACTTGGTCATAATAGTACAGTATTTCAATATCATTTCTACCCTCTGACCTTCCAATCCTTGTCCAAGCATCTCATCCCAGATTCATCTTGGGTCCCTTTCCAATAACCTGTTCATGCTCAGCAGATAGATCTTCCTGCGTACAGCTCCAGAAGTCACACATTGTTGTTCCATGTTTGCTGCAGTATACTTGAGATTGGGCTTGTGATCTGCCATCCAAATCTGTGGTATGGCCAGGCAAGGATGATGTTTTTGTAAAGCATGAACTGTGGCAGCAAACATCAAAGATTGACAGCCTCGCTCTTGGATGTGCTGTAGAGGAGCGGGAACCCAAGAGTCCTACATTGGAAGTCATAAATGCAAAGGAGAGAGACTTTGTCAGGGGAACCCCCGCTTCAGACCGATTAGCCTGGGACCTGGCATGTGATCGCGCTCGCATGACCTGTCAGCTGTCACGCGCAGCGGCCGGGGTCACCGCGCCAAGCGCTTCTCCGTGATGGCAGGTGGTGCCATTGTTCCTATTGTCTCCGTTTTCTATTGTTCTGTCATGGCCATTGTACTTATTGTTCCTATTGTTCTTGTTTGTTGCTGCGTGGTCTATTGTTCCTGTATCATATGAATAGTGGTGCCTGGCAAGGAGAATCTCCAACACGGTTTCTCTTTGGATTCTCCCTTGCCAGGTATGCCAGGCTTGTACCTAGCTACCACTATTATCCACTTTGGATTCTCCCTTGCCAGGACTCTGACTTTGAGCCTCGAGGTTGCCCTTACAGACTTGGAGACCCTTGTAAGTGACACACAGACAACTTGTCAGGGCAACCTTGAGACCCAATTTCAGAGTTCTGGCAAGGGAGAATCCATGTAAGGGCAACCTTAAGGCCCAATCTCAGAGTTCTGACAAGGGAGAGTCCAAAGGGTCAGATAAAGGGATCAACTAATACAGGAGACTGGCAAACCTGACAAGGGAGAGTCCAAAGAGAAACCAAGTTGGGGACTCTCTGTTGATAAAAAGATCATCTTATCATCTGCCAGATGGATGTCGTGATACACATCTTATGACTCTATCACATGTCATCTAGAGTCATGCCAACTCATATCAAATAGACACAAATAACCCCCTGTATTGTATATAAAGAGGGCTCTATGTGACAATCAACAAGAAATAATGTTGAAAAGAGAAGTGAATTCAAAGACTGGAGAATACAACCAAGTAGCTACAGTATTTATACCCAAATCCAGTCTGAGTCATATCTACAACTAATGAGTCATAAGGCTATGTACCGCATGGAGCACTGGTCATGGGTTGTAGTAGAACCTTCCGGAGCATATGTCGTGCAGCCTTGAATCGATAAAGATAATCCCTGGAACCCCTAGCCCGGACCGTCTGATGCCATGATCCATGATAAGATAATCCGTGCCAAGATAAGATAAGATGGTTGATGATAAGATGAAAAAGGGCTGAATTATGACATTACCCCCTCTCTAGGGTCAATGTCCTCATCGACTAGGCCAATGGGCGTGAAGACGTTCTCGTAACGGTTGAAGAGTTGTTGCTGGGGATATGGAAGGTGCTCGTCTTTGGGTTTGTAGCAATGGATGAGATAATCCCAGTGTCTGGCTTCGAGCGTCGGCAGGAGGTGAATGCATGTGTCTGGGTTGGATTGTTTCCTCTGCCAATCTCTCAGGACCTTCTTTGTGTGGGTAAGGTGACGTGATGGTTCCCAAGTATTTTCGCTATGCTGCCATCCCTTCCATTTGACCAAGTACTGTTTTCCTCGGCCGACGTTTCGCTCTTTCACGATCTCTTCGACTTCCCACTCTTCTGCTCCTCCGATCATCTTGGCTACGGGCCTCTTCTCTCGGCAATGGGGGGGTGGTTCGTGATATGGTGTCAGTAGTGACTTGTTGAACACCGGGTGCCTTCAGTCTGTGTCTGGCAAATCCAGCTTCCATGCAGCCGCTCCAACCTTCTCCAGTATCTCGTATGGTCCTAATCTCTTGTCGCTCATCTTCTTTGATGGTCTATCCATCTCAATATTTTCCCCTTCTATGTACACCTTCATCCCAACCTTCAACTCCAGAACTTCTTTTCTTTGTTTATCGTAGTATTTTTTCATTTTTTCATTTGCTTTTTCCAATGCTGCTTTTGCTTTGTCTTGTATTTCTTTGATTCTTTTTACAAACTCCTCTGCCGACTTGTTCCTCAATTCCATCCGTTGTTCCACTCCCTTCCATGGGTGATATCCGTGATTGGCGTAGAACGGTGATATTTTGGTAGACGTGTTCATCTTGTCGTTGTATGCAAACTCTGCCATTCCCAGCCACTCCGACCAGTCCGTCTGATGGTAATTGACGTCGATGCGGAGATAGTGTTCAATCTCCTGATTCATGCGTTCCGTTTGCCCATCTGTGATCGGGTGATATGCGGTCCCCGGATTCATTTCCACGCCCAACATCCGATTTGTCTCCTTCATGAAGCCTTTGATGTAATGCAAATCCCTGTTGGTGATGATCTTGCGGGGGATCCCGTGGTAGCGGAAGACTCGGTCCCTGGTTAATCGTGCCACTCCTTCGCTGCTGATGTCAGTACTAATTGGTTCGACATGGATCATTTTGGTGAAGGTGTCACACCACACATGAATTGCATCATACCCGTTACTGACTGGTAGGGGTCCGATTTGATCCATGGAGATGATTTCCCACGGCGCATTTGGGACTGCATGTGGGTGCAGAGTCCCTGTCCTTGCTCTCCTGGTCTTGGTCCGCTGGCACGCCTCGCACGTCTGGATGTATTTGTAAGGGCAACCTCGAGGCCCGATGTCAGAGTCCTGGCAAGGGAGAATCCAAAGGTGATTAATAGTGGTAGCTAGGTACAAGACCGGCATACCTGGCAAGGGAGAATCCAAAGAGAAACCGTGTTGGGGATTCTCCTTGCCAGGCGCCACTATTTATATGGTACAAGAACAATAGACCGCGCAGCGACAAACAAAGAACAATGGGAACAATAAGTACAATGGCCATGACAGAACAATAGGAAACCGAGACAGTGGGAACGATGGGACACCTGACCATGTGCCCGTCAGAGAGAAGCGCTTGGCATGGCAGTCCGGGCCGCGGCACGTGACAGCTGACAGGTCACGCGAGCGCGATCACATGCCTGATCGAAGGCAGAGCGGTCTGAAGCGGGGGTTCCCCTGACATCACCCCCCCCTTGGATTGCGGCGCCTCGACGCAACGTGCGGATGGTGGCAGAGGGGTGCTGGAACGGAAGGGAGTCGAAGATGGCGGCAGCAATGATGCGTGGCTTGTTGGGGTGCTTGCGGTAGAATGCCGCTATAGCGTCCTCTGCGAAGATATCAGAGTGCTTAACCCATTGGTCGTGTGACGAATCGTAGCCCTTCCACCGCACAAAGTACCAAATGCTCCGATAGCGCATCTTGGCATCCAGAACTTCTTCGACTTCCCATTCCTCGTCAGCTCCTTGGCCCATGACAGGTGGCGGCTCTTCGCGAGCCGGGCGTGTTGGGAACGGGTCGTCCTCAACGAGCTGCAGCTTGACGACGGGGAAGACCGGGTGAAGACCAGAGAGGCGGCGAGGGAGGTCAAGCTTGTAAGCGCCGCGCCCAACAACCTGGGTGACTTTGAAGGGACCCAGCCGTCGGTGAGAGAGTTTGAGGGACGGGCGCGTTGTTGCTATGTCAGAAGCGTCAAGCCAGACTCGATCTCCGACCTTGATGTCTGGAGCTGAGACCCTCCGGCGGTCGTAGTACTGCTTGTACTCATCCTTTGCCTTCACCAGTGCCGACTTGGCCTCTGCCACTCCAGACGCGATGCGGTCGCGGAAGTCGTTTGCCGACTCGTTCACAGTTGAGCGTGGTCCGTTCGGTTCGAAGCCCATGCGAGGGAGCCGACCGGTGTCGGTCATGAACGGGACCTGCTGCGTGGATGAGTGAACATGATTATTGTAAGCAAACTCTGCAGCGGGAAGCAGCTCGTCCCAGTCGTCCTGGTTGTAGCTGGTGAAGATCCGGAGGAACTGCTCGAGCTCCTGGTTCACACGCTTGGTCTGGCCGTCCGTCTGTGGATGCCAAGCCGTAGACATTGCCGATGAGACCCCGACCAGTTTCCACAGCTCCTGCATGAACTCTGCTATGAACTGGGAGCCGCGGTCAGAGACATACTTAGACGGCAGCCCATGGTGGCGCCAGACGTTCTTGTAGAAAAGCCTGGCGGCACCTTCACCGGAGAGCCGGGTGTGGCATTCTATGAAGTGGCTGCGCTTCCCAAGCATGTCAACAACGACCATGATAGCATCATACCCGTGAGCGTCTGGCAGATGCACAATGAAGTCGACCGACACCGCTTCCCAGCGCTCCGAAGGGACCTCCGTGGGATGGAGTTCCCCGATTGGGAGTTGGTGGAGCGCCTTGGTTCGGCAGCACAGGTCGCAGGTGGCCACATACCGGCCGACGTGTCGAGACAACTGGGGCCACCAGTAGTTCCGAGAGATCAGCTCCAACGTCTTGAAGCGGCCGGCATGCCCTGCAACGCGGGTGTCGTGGTGCTGCTCGAGGATGCGTCAACGGAGGTCGTTGTTGCGTGGAACCACCAGCTTGCCACGGAAGTAGAGCAGGCCGCCTTCTTTTCGCCACTCCGCAGCCCGAGCAGAGCGAACTCCGCGTTCCTTGAGGAGCTCTCGTGCTGCCAACACAATGGGCTCCTCCATGTCGGGGGTACCGGCGAGGGCCTCCCGGATGTCGCGCAGGAGGGGGGCTTCGGGTCCGGAGACGGTGAGACCTTCCAAGGCCCGGACGTGGAACAGCTCCGGGCGTAGCAGCGTGACGTCTGCATTATCCGAAGCGACTCCGTGGTCGGGGCGGCGCGAGAGAGCATCCGGGCGGCCCATGAGGCGGCCAGGTTGGTGGTGCAGGGTGAAGTCGAAGCGAGACAG